AGGTGTGAGAGAGACAGAGAGAATGGGAAACAATAGTTAGAAAATAATATTCATTATATAATTTTGAAATAATTTTTTTATTATACACTTTTGGTATCAAATTTCAGGGAAAAATTGTGATTTAAATCATAAAAGTCTGAATTCTGTTTGACAGCAACTGATTGATTGAATGTCTAGTATTTGATAACATGTTTGGTATGTCTTTTGCCTCAAAGAAATGCATTGTAAACGACTGGAAATCAAAGGTCAAAACGATTTATCAAAAAACACAGCGTTAAAAAAGCACTGCCGGAGAAAAAACAATACCCCGTATAAGAGTGTATGGCTTTGTATTAATGAAAATTTATTATATTCTCGTGTTTTGTGTTAATATCAAAACACATTTAATTGAATGAAATATTAACTCCTCTATGATATCATGAATTATAATAATTCATAAATATATGGATATTATAAGCGTTTCTAATAATGTTTATATCATTGAAAATATGGTGAAAAGGGCAGCGTTTTTGCCCAAAAAAGCTATTGAACACAAAAGCAAAAGAAGTTTTTTCAATAAAAAATTTTCAAATTCAATGTCATATTCGCAGCGATTTTTAGTGCAAAATAACAAAAGACAAAAAACACAAAACACTAAAAATATGTGTTATTTGCCAACAAATGTTTAAAAAAGATTACAAAACATTTAGTTAAATGTTATTTTAAAAAAGGACTCAAATTATTTTATACCAAAATATATTTTTATAATGAATATAATCATTGAATTCAAGGCTTAGAGAGACTAGTAATTGGCGTTTGGGAAGTCATGCAAGAGTTAGGGAACGACATTAGAAATATATATACAATTCAATGGCTGTATATATAGTGAAGTGAACGTAACACCAGAATTGACATTACGTTTGATAATAACACACAAAATAAATACATGTTTTTTTGTGGTGCAAAACCTGCATAGAATTAGGGGAACAGACCATAGAAATATACATTGGGTTGTGTTGTGGATGTGATGGCAAAGAGCACTGGTTTGGGAAATAAAGTTTGATAGTGTTGTAGGCATTTTAAAACAGGATATGAGAATCAAATTCAAATACGAAATGTTATTTTAATGATGAGAGAGAGAGAGAGAGAGAGAGAGAGAAACACAATATTCAATGCAATCCTAAAATACAATTCAAATTTCTAAACAATTTTCTGCACTTTATTTCTAACATTCAATCAAAACAATCGCAACCTTTCCGTACAATCGATGCAAACATTTTGTTCACACTTTCCGTACGTTCACTGCATTTGCATTCAATTTATAACCGAGCAAGTTCTTTATTAGTATTAGAGCATCACTCTTAAATTTTAATTAAAAATTAATACTTCGTTTGTTAATAAAGTTTAATACATTATCGGCTAACTTAACCGTTTATAACCCGTAGTATCGTACAAAGTTTCATTTATTTCCCGATAAAAATGGCGGTTCTATGAGGCAACAAATTGAGTGAAGTCAATTTCACTTACTAGTTTTGTTTTGCAATTTCTATCACCAAAACATGACTGCAGAGAATGATCATAAAAGTCATGTGATAGTGGAATAATAGGAGAATATCGTGGGTATGAGGGAACTTGTCGGCCAAAGCCTTAGAATTTTTTAATATAATTTTTCTAAAAAATAGGGTCTAAAAATAGGCCAAAATCAGGCATATTTTAGACATGTATACAATTACACGCTTTGAAAAATGTCCACTTGGGTTTAAATGGCCACAAATTTTTTTCCAGTATAAGTATAAGTTGATCAACTATTTCATGTGTGAAAATCGCGGATCGTACACAACCCGAACTTTTGGCACGCGATTGTCCACTTCCCGGTGTCGGGCCGTTCGGGTGCGATCTTTAAGGTTATAATCACCTGATTTAATACTTTTTAGCAATTAATTTCATTGGTTGATATCTAATACATCAATTAAGATTGATATATTGTAACTGTGAGTTTATTTATTAGTGCTTTTAACTTAAAACAAAAATAGGTTAAAATTTACAATGTTCTCGGTATCATAACTTTTGGGTGAAATTACCACTTCTTAAAATAATTTTGAAACATTTTTTACATAAAAAATTTCTCCTTGTTACTGACGTATTTTATCGCAAATTTAGTTATACTACCGTAAATGGTTTTTTTAAACGGTTGGTAAGATTGGATTTCATTAAAATCTGAGGCCGGTGAATTACTTGCGCGGTTATCATTCGTATAATTCATTAATTGGGCGCTACTTTCAAAACGCGATTTATTGTGGTTTTAAAATAAAATTACATTAAAATATAGGGTAAAAACAATGGCATAAATTTAAGTGATAATTACAATCATTAAATTTGTTTCATGTAATTGGGAAATGCATTTGTGCTTAAGATGTGGTTCAGATGGGAGTCATCGATGTTTAACGAGAAGAGAGTCCATTCGCTTAATAGTAAATCATTGGATTTGACGGCCGACTGTCTTGTTATCAAATCAGTTTATTAAAGAGGAACAATGACTGCATAAAATAGCGTTTAAATCAATATGATGGCATTTACCAAAAAAATTTGCCAACCATTCTAACCTAAAGTAATTTTAGACTCCGGCCACTTAATGAACGCGCCAATATATATTTGAACGCATTATTTTTACTGTAAAATAAATTATAGTCTGTTTATATGATGTGTTTTATTAATACGACAATAAATGATTTTATTGTCATAAAAATAATTTTTATATCATATATCAAACACAATTAATTCATAAGTGTATTTAAAGAGAGTACACAATATATTGTTTATACAGTCTGTTCTGGATATAATATACACCCAATAGTATCCCCATTTAATTACTATCCCCTTATTTTAAAAATCATAAGTCAGTTGCTATTCACATAATGTTAAAATAGTGTCATTATAATCCCCACTTTTGTGTTTATTATAATCCCCAATCCGTTATAATCCCTCAATATATAAAACACTCGTACATAGAAAGCCATACAAATTGTAGTTCAATAGTGTCCCCACTTTTCAACGACCATAAAAATTGCACAAAAACATTAAAAATTATTTAAAAATCTTTACTAATTTGATAAATTAAACAAATTGTTGACTAAAACTCGAATAAAACTAATTTTCAGATATAATAATCAATGTATTAGTAAAGTCTAAGAAAATTTATACATAGAGTGAATACAAGTCTATTATAATTAACATTTCATTATAATCCACACTTTTTGAAAATTTGATGTGGGGATTGTATCCAAAACAGACTTTAATTTGTAATTATTAAAATAAATTAGATCATACAAACCATAGCTTTTATAATTTACATAAATTTCGTATATATAAACTTATAAAATAATGTTAAAAACAAGCTATCTACTGTAGATAGCTTGTTTTAGCATTAATTTATAAGTTTATATATACGAAATTTATGTGAATTATAAAAGCTATGGTTTGTATGAATTAGATTAACAATTATCATGTCCTGTGAAGACGATTTATGTACTTTAATTGTCTTTTTATTAATTTAATAATTTTGTTTTTACTGACAATTAAGTTTAAAGCATTAAAAAAGTTTGGAAATTACAATGTTTTTGTTAATGTTTAAGTTAAACCATAAGAATTGATTTTATAAACATTAAGTGAATTTTATTTTATTTAATTATTATATTTGTCACAAACCAATTTTAATTATTTAAATACAAACAATAATATAAATTTAGAGAATGACAATTTTTTATTATTTTTTAAAAGCTATAATTAAAATTCAATAAGTTAAATATTTATCAAAATTAGTTGTAGCAAAATGAGTATTTTATAAGTACTTGTAAATTTAAATAAATCGTAATAAAATATTTAGCTAACAAACATTTTAAATAGAATTTAAAATAAAACTATAATTATATATAATTTTTGTTGATATATCAAAAGCTGATAATAGTGAAATAAATGTATAACATATTTCATGCAAAATTTTGTAACAAAATAATTTTTAATTATTATCAACGAAATATTTGAATATTTTATGATCCCAATAAAATAACTGCCAAATAACTTTTTAGCAAGAACATTTTTTATTGACTAAGACATTCTGTAGTAGTATATGCCTTAAACTCACTAATATGTAAGAGATTTATTTAACGGGTAATACGATATGTTTACTGTAGATTATACATGTATTGAAATAGTATAAAGAAACAATATAATTTTAAAAAATTGCAAAATTAAAACTTGATATTATTATTGAAAATAATTTTAATCCTGTATTGGAATGTTTCTAAATTTAATCAATATAATCCTAATGTGATAAGAATATCGTTTTAAGTGTAACACGTATTCATTTTTCAATTTAATAATTAAGCCAATATAAACCAATAGTGTTATAAAAAGATCCCAAATCAATTATACCAACACCAATATTGTTTCAAACAATACACTAATACAAAGTGTGATACATATCATTAAACATTTTATTACAGCTCTCCTGATGGACCATAAATGCTAACAAAAACGGAATCGAAACCAAGAATAAGCAAAATATAAGACCAATAGCTTTGTAGCCATTCCTGCGGGCCATCGATGAGGTCTCGCTCTCCACATCCTTCACACCCTTCCCGACGACCGTATATTCAGTGCTCTCGTTGTCAGCACTCGTATCACTCGAGCGGTGTTTACAACAATACACGAACCAAAATAGCATAGAGAGTATGTGAGCCACACGTGTGCTCCACATCAGGGTATCGAGCAGTAGGTACTGACCCGCGCCTATCGGCCATTTCACTGAGTATACAATAAAATAATCAAAAGCAAAATATGCAAAACATCGGCTTATTTCCAGGGGTGCCGCCCATGACCTGTATTTTCATTACAAAATTCAATTTAGATATTATAACATTTGTAAAAATTATATAATTTAAACCTGTTATCAAATATTGCCCCAAAAGATGTCAATACATATACAACATATAGTATTGCAATCATCCCTTTTTCAGGTGAAAACCGCTGTTGTGTTCAAAATATAAAATAACAAATAAATTTAATTTAATAATTAATATTTAATTACTAAATCATTAAATACTAACGATATAAGGATGTTCTCCAAGTAAATAAAAAGCCAATACAACTATTACTGAATGAAAAGCAATGTATATCTTCTTCCAGTCCTCGATATACGGGTCATGACTATACTTGGGTAGAGTGTAGTCAACTTCGGGCACATCATTGATATCTCCGAGTCGTGGTTTACCGGGTGTCCAACCGGGACCCTTAAACAAGGCCGACATCTTATTACAAAAGCCCTCAACTTTACAAAACTTTTGCCAAACGTCTCGATAGTAACCAAACTGTAAAATCATTGAGTCGTATGTTTTGGGTGTCGGAGACACCACTCCGTAGAGAATCTTCTCCTTCTCTGTCTGATGTGTACCGAAAAGTCGGTCCCAAACCATAATTAACGCGCCGTAATTCTTGTCAATACAGTACCGGTTTTTCCCGTGATGTACGCGATGTTGTCGGGGAGTATTGATTATGTACTCCAGGAAACCCAGATTACCCACCACTGAGTTATGCAGCCATACCTGATATATAAGGCTAAACTGAATGTGCACCATAAGGCATGGAGGGGGTACTAATAGGGCAAGTGGCAGCGGAAATATCTAGTTGGAAATTTAAAGTATTATAATATTTATAATTATAAGTGTAAATGATTTCTTACGGCATATATGAATAAATCGACGACAGAGTCGCGGATTGTTGTCGTGATGTTCACATCCTCTGCCATGTGATGGAACTGATGGGCAGAAGGTGTGAGAGAGACAGAGAGAATGGGAAACAATAGTTAGAAAATAATATTCATTATATAATTTTGAAATAATTTTTTTATTATACACTTTTGGTATCAAATTTCAGGGAAAAATTGTGATTTAAATAATAAAAGTCTGAATTCTGTTTGACAGCAACTGATTGATTGAATGTCTAGTATTTGATAACAAGTTTGGTATGTCTTTTGCCTCAAAGAAATGCATTGTAAACGACTGGAAATCAAAGGTCAAAACGATTTATCAAAAAACACAGCGTTAAAAAAGCACTGCCGGAGAAAAAACAATATCCCGTATAAGAGTGTATGGCTTTGTGTTAATGAAAATTTATTATATTCTCGTGTTTTGTGTTAATATCACAACATATTTAATTGAATGAAATATTAACTCCTCTATGATATCATGAATTATAATAATTCATAAATACACGTTTGGACAAAATAATCTGATTTTGTTTTTATTGAATAACTTCTCTCTCGATGGTTCAATCAAAAAGCTGTCTTCACAGAATTATTCTGTGGATAATGGAGACAAATTTACTAATTGAGAT